CCCATAATTTTTAGGGGGACCTCCCCTCTGACCGGGCGCCAATCGGACAGTCCGACAAGAGGTACCGGGCGTCAATCGGACAGTCCGACGGGAGGTCTCGGGCGCCAATCGGACTGTCCGATTCGGACTGAAGTCGGACTGCTCCGTTTAACATCTGAATTTCAAACGTTTCAGAACATAAACGGAGCAATCCGAAACAGTCCGAAACACATTAGTCGGAGTAAAAACGGAGCAAGTCCGCTTCGGATGTCTTTCGGAGCTGTTCGTTTTCACAAGGGCAGACTTCAAAATTTGACAAAAATAGAAAATGGGGCGAAGTCAGTACCGCATCAATTCAAATTGGACTGGCAGAGAACCTGCACTCATATTGGAGTGTATCTACTACTCCAGGCTGTCCGTCTCTCTACTGCACTGAATTTGACAGTAAGGGAAGTTACTGCTGCAACAAGATGTCAAGGTTATCGAATTTTAAGGATTTTGAATAACAAGACAGCAAACAGCCGCTGAGCCGCCTGCGTGGCTATGCCAGAGGGGCACTTTCGATTAATTGATGAATTTAGGAAGATACGTGAAAAATTGGCGTTTCCAACAGATAAACTTCTTGTTACGTGCAGAGGAAATGATTTCACGGATATCTTGGAGCCACTTAGTAAGAAACTTGGAAAACCAGTTACTTACAGTGCGATACGGAAAGAGGTGGAAACAAAATCTTTTTTAATTGATGGAAATGAGTCTAAGAGTAAGGACCAAATTTCATCTTATTTGTGCCATTCCAAAGAGACTGCTGCTAAGTTCTACAAATTCAAAAATGACGAGGCTGTCGTGGAAGAGTCTCTCCAGGTCTCAAATATCATTTTTCAACTAGCAGCAACCGAAGTGGTTGCGCGAGACAGAATTCTACCAAGAACGTTCACAGGTTATTTTCTATTATATTATCTAATTTCATCCGTTTTCTACTTTTTAACGCCGTTCAATGTGCCATACTAACAGTGACTTTAATTTTGATTACAGAGACTTTTCCATCAAAAGACAGCCTCGGCAAGAGTGTGGAGCAGGCACTGCGCTACACCAGCATCAGAACCCTTCCACTCTCTTCCGCAAGCTACAACAAGGTTCGAGCTAACTGGCTCGAATCCTTCCGGGATAAGGCTGTAATTTTCTATTCCAACCAAATGGCTGCAGCTAGATGTCTACATTCTAGAGATAATGTAAAGAAGATGATCGAAAACTCGGTGTGGAGTAAAGATGTTGCTGATATAACGTGTATGATTTTGGAAAATTTGTCCGGTAAAAAACTCAAATAAATATATCTATTTTTTTTAATTTTTGTTCAAAATCGATTACAATAAGCAAAATAATATAATTTAGACACATTTAATCAGCTGAAACGAGGTTTCTTCAAAATCGATTACAATAAGCAAAATGATATAATTTAGACACATTTATTCAGCTAAAACGAGGTCTTCACGCAGAGTCACCCTTGGGTTGCAATTTTGGACTAAATAGAGCAGAGTAATGCTTTTACCCAACATTCTCGTAGGATAACCTAAGCCAGGACCGTAAAATTCGCACAAACAATGTTACAAAACCAAGTTAACGACCAGAAAAAGAAACGCAATCCGCAGGCCACATCAGCTGCGCCACACACCCGAGGTACAGTTTCCGACAAAACTGTCAAAATTAGACGCAATCCCTCTTGCCGCCGTCTCTCTGCCTCTGTTTGCTAACCGTGAGACATCACCCGAGCCCCTTCGCCCGCGCCTTCGCCCACGCCAAAGG